AGAGAGAGAAAATTGCCAATCCTCCTGTGGCGGACAGTGTGCTCCTATTTAGCCCTGCTCCCAGCCTTCCACTCTTAGAGGTAACATCTGTTAATGAATTCTGTGCTAATTATAGCCTTACTGTCTTTTAAATGATGTTCATCACATATGCATATATTTGTGAACAATGTGTTTATTTTTTTTGTTTGAGCTCCATGTAAATAGCATCGTGGTGTTAGTTATCTGAGACTTGCATAATTTAATATTATGTTCCTAAATTCCTTTGTGTTACGGGTAGTTTGCTGGGTAATGTGCCATTGTAAAAATTATATGAAAACTTATTGTTGTATTCTCAGTGACCACGTGGATTTTCCCAGTTTTTGCCATAATATTGTGCTGGTGTGAATATGTTTATACATATCTCCTACATATGAGAGTTTCTCTAGGATATAATTTGTAAGTTTTTCAAATTAGGCATGAATACTAAGTTTTTTTCAGACACCTTTGACATCTATTGTGTTGGACAGTTTGTTTATTTTATTAATGTATAAAAGATACTAATCTGTATCCTAACATTGAGCTTTATTTGCATTCATAGGTTGATTCCAGTCATATATATTTACTTGAATGAAAAACTGGAGTCTGTTGGTTAGTATTTAGACCTCCCAGATCTCTTCAAAGGTCTTGTGATTCTGGAGGACACTCAGGGCAGGAAGTGGGGAGCATCTGCCTCCTCCAGGTGCCACCTCCCTGTAGCCTGACTCCCCGGAACTGTGGGCCAGGGCTGCAGTTCAGCTAGCCTTGCTTCATTGTGGTGTAATCGAGGATGGGGCTTGTTTAGAGAAAAAGAAGTGAGTCCAAGATCTTGGTAGTGTTCTGTCTCCTGAATTGCATTGTTGATACACGAGTCCTTGTTTTATTGTTCTTTAGGCTCTGCATACACCTGTGTATGTGCTTTTGCATGTATGGTATGTGTCTTAATGGTAAAATCCTAGGGCTCCTGGCAGAGTCAGTGTCCTAGCTGGGAGGAGTCCTGGGCTCTGAGCAGGGAACAGATCACCTTCCTCCTGTGGCAGCCCTGTTTGGATGAAGGCTGCCTGCACTCTGATCTTCTGGGAGGAGCTGTCTTGCTCGTGTGAAAGTGGCTTGCTCCACAGTTGTCTCTTTCTATTTCTCCTCAGTTCCAGCCCTTCTCTGAGAGGCCATCTAAGTGATGGCAGCCGTGCTCCTGACAGCTTGGCCCCAGGTGAGCTTTGGGCGCTTAGCTCCTCCTGGCAGTTTCACAGTGAGGAGAACTGAGAAGGGGAGCTGCTGGGCCTTGGGATGAGAACTGCTTCCACCTGCTGGATTGTGGGAAAGATGTGATATGGGTGGGGGGGCTGCAGGGGCAGGACTGTGAGGAGCCAGAGGCAGCAAGAGAGTGAATCCAGGGAGCAGAAGGTGGCCTCTGCACACCGGGAGGTGGGGGGTCCTTGTTCCTCTGTGCAGGAGTACCCCAGCTCTTGGTGAGCAGGGATGTGGAAGCTCTCATATATGAAGATCTGTGCCTAGATGTGATTGGAGGAGAATCACGGATAATTGAGAGTCTTGATGGCAGGAGAGAGGAGTAGAGGACCAGATAAGTGAGAAGGGTGGCCATGCTTCTAATCCTGGCAGTGGGGAGGGTGACATGGGGTCAAGGAGGGAAAAGACAGGCAGTCCTGTCAGGTAGAGTATCTCATTGTGTCCTTGTGAAGCTTTCAGGGCTTAGGGTGCAGTGCCCCAGCCTTTAGGTCTCTGATAAGGATCTCTACCTTGGCCTTCCTCCAAATAAACCTGCAAACCAAATTGATCATACATGTTCAGGGACTTCATGGAACCTCTGAAGCTCATCTTTGGACCTCATTGACTACAGGTTGGGAATAGCATAGTCACAGTGACACCAGGAACATCCTTTGAGGCTCACTCCACTGTGGGTCCCATGACAAGTTCTTTGCATGGCTCATTCAGTTCTGACAGCCACTCCCTGTGTTGTACTTAGTCTACTACAGAGGAAGAGAGTAACCTAGCCCTGGTCACAAAGTTGTGGGATTCATGATTGCTCTGCCATCTGACAGCTGTGGAGCCAGGACTGTTAACTTGGGCAGGTTTGGTGCAGCCATGTGTGGAGTAATTTTCAGGGCAAATGCAAAAGCAAAGTGACCACCACTGCTTCAGGTGGTGTGGGCTTCTTTAAGGAAAGTAAGGAGAAGGAATCAATTTAGATAATGCCTAGGATGTGAAAATCTTAAGGATGTAGAGAGTCAGAGGATTAGGGAAGGGGCAAGGAGAGGGGAGAATTGAGAGATTTCTAGCTGAGGCTTCCTGTGTGGATGGTGCTGACACCAGCTGAAGGATGAGTTCAGCGGAAGGTGGCACATGGTGAAAGCATTTAGGCATTTCATTTTGTGCAGAGAAGTTACCCTGTCTGAGGTCATGCAGAGGACCCACTGTAATGCTCAGAGTGGACTAGAATTTTTGGTGGGTGAATGAGGATATGGAAGCTGCCCTTGGGTAATGTTCTGTGCATGGATGTGATTGGAGGACATCAGTAGAATCAAGGAGAGTAAATCTTGGCGAAGAGGAGCTGAGAGGTGAATGCCACCAGTGAGTCCCCAAGGTTGATAGAGATGGTGGGGATGGACAGAGGAAGCCAGCTAGAGGCTGCAGCTGTGCAGACAGAGGAGCTGGGCATGGGAGTGATGTGCAGCATCAGTCGGGATGGCAGAACACGTGCAACCCTATGGCTTAGTGACAGAGAAGCCAGAAGGGTGGCAGCATAGCTGGCCAGTGGGAAGGCTGGTCTACTTTCTTCCCAAACCTTCTTGGAGAAACAATGATGTTTTCAAAGGAGGTGGACAGAATGAGGGGAGAATGGGAGAAGGTAACAGGAGATGCTTTGTTTAGTGAGATCCTCCTCCCCACCAGTCTGGGCAGCACTAGAGGTGCTTGAGTAGAGGTCATGTGGCTCCTCATTGGGGAGCCTCTGGTGGGTAAGAGGGAAGGTGGGGTCTGGATGAGACTGAAACCATGACTATTCTTCGGGAGTGGCTTGAGGTGTGAGTGTGAGGTGTGGGGTATGGAATGGGGTTGAGGTTAGGTGCGGAGGAACCAAGACCTCAAGGGGACACAGTGGAAACTGGTTGCGTTTAGGTACCGAGTCACCACAGATGGAGTAGCCTATCTAAAAGAGTGGAGTTACTTTAGGGAAATTTGTTTATAGGAAATTTTTTTTCAGCCTGGCTTATGTTATCTTTTAGAAGTATAAAAAATAGTATGAGTTTTTTCCTGGTGTTTTTCCTCAAATGTTTCCCTCGTTACTAATTTTATGACCATCACAAGCTCCCTCCCCCAGCCCTTATACTGCCCTCTGCCCCTCACTTAGGGCCTGAGCCATGGAATTGGCCCTGGGGCAGCAG